GGTTTAAGCCCTAAACCCTAACACCTCAACCCTAAAAACCCTAAGGATGAAAAGTGCTGTGATTCCTTATGCTGTACCTCTAAGGGGCATGAGGAAACGAATGAGCCAACTTTCTGGTTTCTACCACAAGGCCCAAGAAAGAGCTGCGCCGCTTTTTTGTCACCATCCCCAGAGAGCCCCATAAATACCCCTTAGTTAAGGAATATACCTTAAATCAGAATATTAAGGCCCCCATAGTTTGAGGTATATTCCGCAATTGAAGGGGTATTGGGCTCTCTGGGTCTCACTTAGAGGATCATGGGGACGAACTAAGTAAGGTTGTAAGCAACCTAAATTGGGATTAGAAGTAAGAGCCCCAGGCAGGCTATGGTTGGCACCATGAACAGACCCACCAACCAGAGAACAAGTCTTGGGGGGGGTCTACCAACGGCCAGAACCAAGACGCAGTTCGTGCAATCGCTTCTTGGTGATGTCGCAGCCTTCCGCTCAACATCCTCATGTTCTGGTTTGAGCACCTATTACGGTTTAGGGTTTGGGGAAATCCTCGGGTGTGTAGTCTAAGCCCAAGACAGAGCTGCGATTCATTGACACAGGTTTCACCCGTCTCTGCAGCGAACTGCAAGTTCCGTTTGAAATCAGCAAGAAAGGATCTTGCATGAAGTGTCTGAGGAGTTGCTGTAGGGCCTTGGAACAGTGTACATGCAATATTTACTAAAACCATCTAAGAACCTTTTAAACTGGTTATACAACAACATAAAACGCCGAACAGGCTAGGAAAACCCTATGGGAAAGCCCTATAACAACCCTGGTAAAGGCTTTAAGAGACCATTTTCGGAAGCTTGCGCTTGCAACTGCCAGGTGCTGCTTGCTGGTCGACCCCGAGGTGCACTTGTGTTTCTGTGAACCTACTTGGCCGAAAGAGTGGCTATGGTAATTGTGGGTTTAGGGCTTTAGGGTATACCGTTTAGGGTTTAGGGGTTTAGGCTTCTTCCTTTAAGGACTCCCTTTAAAAGGCTTCTATAAGGGTTTAGGGGTTTAGGGTTTAGCGGTTTAGGGGTTTCTTAGGGGCTGAGTAAGTAACCCGTTAACCTTTTTGGGCTTGTAGAATCCTACTATAATTCAAAAGGTTAACCTTTTTTGGGTTAAGGTACTCAGCCCCTAAGTGGTGATTATGGTATTTATGGTAGTAGTGGCTACAATGATGGTCATAAAAGACTTACGATGATTAGAGATGGACAGCATACTCAACTTGGTAAGTAGCGTTCCGGTAGAAGTTTAACCCCGCTCCTTGCATTTCATGGAGATGACCTGTAGGCGTCGCATGAGGGGTTTAGGGGTTG